CCAACGTAGAATCCAACGCCCCATATTTTTTATTTCACGTTTTCTTGCTGAGTCTGTTTTGTTCAGATGATAGATATCCTTTACAATCCATTTCTTAAGTAATCTTTCCCCTACATCAGCTTTATTCATCGACTGATTGCTTAATTTATCTAAGCGTTGAATCTCCCTTGAGTTGTTTACATCTCTACCAGGAAATATTGGTGGTGGTGTTCTCCGCCATATTGGTATTTCCACTGAACTATTTTTATCACTGATTGGAAACATTGGTGGTGGTGTCCTCCTCCATATTGGTATTTCCACTGTTGTATTTTTTCCTCTGTTAGGAAATAGTGGTGGCGGCGTTCTCCGCCATATCGGTATTTCCACTGAATTATTTTTATCTCTGTTAGGAAATATTGGTGGCGGTGTTCTCCGCCATATTGGTAATGGCGTCCTCCGGTATAATGTAGTCACTAATTCTTCTCCCTTCCATGGTTCGTTGTCAATCCTATCTGCCACTAAGGACGGAATAGTTATTAATATAATTGAAAACATTAACATTTTGAATAATGTATTTTATTAAATTATGAATTGCTTGTATTCTAAGTAAACTGGTAATTTGTTATAATAAAATATTTTTCGGTGAAATATCATTTTTCATTTAAAGACATAGCACGTAAACTTTCCAATAGGGTGTACTGTATACATCACAATGTTGTATACTGTAACTGTGTCATCCACCTAGTGAGTAGCTCTCCATTACACCCGCCAATAAGAGGTAAAGCGTGGAAAGTGTAGATATTCTTTAACATTTTACTGAAAATATGCGTTTTTCTCTTAACTTTGTACCATTTTTATCTTTTAAACCTTAACTTTTATTCAATTGTTTCTTCACATCCTTAACTTTTATTCAATTGTATCTTCTATCGCTTAACTTTACATTTTTACCCCAAAAACCTGGATCTTGCATTACTTAACTTAGCCTAAATTATATCTTCTAACTCTTAACATTGCAACAATTGTATCTTATAATCCTTAACTTTGTATCAATCTTATCTTATAATCCTTAACTTTTTCTTAAACCCTAAAAGTAATTAAACATTTTAATAATATAATAATTTATCAACAAATTTAAATACAATTTAAAGAACATTGTGAAAATATTACAATACAATTGAAAAATTATTGTGAAAATTACAATACAATTGAAAAATTTTGTGAATAAAGTAAAGGACAAAAATAATAAAATACGGTGGAAAATATATTGTGAAAAATGAAATTATTTTTGTCCGAAATTTACAATTTTGAGATTTGAAATTATCCCTTTTTGTATGATTGGTCTAAATATTTTCTTCATTTTAGTTGAGTAAACTATACCATCCTTCACACTGCGGCGTATAAAGTTTGGGTTCTCGATCATAATTGTTCCCTCATCATCATCTTCCTCGTTTTCGTTTTCCCCATTTGCATATTTAAGTACGCTTTCTTTGAAAGTGTCAAAGTGGAGGATTTTGCAGACATCAGCTGTTAAAGTGATGCCGCGTACTTTCAGAACAGTGCTAATTTTTGCGTTTTTGTTGTTTTCCATTCTCAGTGCATAAGCCTTGCACGCGCCTCCAACATATTCTTTTATTTCAGATCCTGCGTACTCTCGTGCCAAATCACCCAGATGAGGACCGGTTTGGAGCGGGCATTCCATGTTCTTTGGGTAAGAGAATAATATGCTGTCAGTGTCCCCATAGAGCAGATTGCAGTCAAGTTTTCCGGTAACCTTTTGCATTGCTTTCAATAGCCTAATTCTTGCTGCTGACGTTGTCCATAAGGAAATCACAATATTTGAAGTGTCATGTTCAACAATAAATTCATCTTTTGGTTTGTAGGTTATTATTACTGTCTCTTCGGTTAATTTATCTACAGATTGCAATTCAATTGATTTGTTGTAATAATATTCTCGAAGTTCATCTGGTGCATCTGTAATCACAGTTTTTGACAAGGTATTCCTCAGACTGAATCTTCCCCACAGAGAGTTTAACATTAGTTTTGAAATGTAGCGCATTGCCTTGTCTGGGACCATTTTTTCTTTTTGAAGTTCAATACCAAATTTTTCTTTGCATTCTTTTATGAAATCATCTTCACTATCTTTTCCTTCTATTCCTTCAGGGAAGCCACTCGCATGAATCTTCATTGCCATAAACTCAGCCACATAATTTTTGAATAAATTTTCATCCCATTTGTCATAATGTAAGGCTCTATAAAATCTTGTAACGGTGTACCCAACTTTTAATGCTTCTTCCAATTCAATCGATGTAACTGTTGAAACCCACCCTCTTTCATCATCATTGTGTGGACAGTGGTAGTCTTTGATGTTTGCGCCATTTGGGTATGTGAGTGAGCATTTTCTACACAGTGGGAAAAGAAGTCGTTCATCAAACTTGACCGGAATTACAGGAACATCCAGTTGAGGCGGTGGTAATATAAATACTTTCAAAATTCCTTTGAACATGATTTGCTCGCTTCTTGTCCAATAAACTTTTTGTTCAGATAGTGGTACAACATGTACTTTCGGATGCCCAACCGGAAATGATGTCGTAGCAATTGTTGAGGGGTAAAGTGAATTAAAGTCTAAGTAGGCAATTTTATGTTGTTCCTTTTCTGCATCAAAGTACATTTGTAAGGGTCCAGTTCTTCCACCAAAATAGCAGTCTCTAATATTGATTGGCCCTTTGTTGTGGTAATTTGCAAAAGCCTTCCTCATTTTCTGGTTGCGGCGAAGCATTTGATGTATATCGCATTCCCATATTATATCGACATTCTTTATATGTTTTTTAATTATTTCCAATCTTTTTCCATCATCTTCACGTGTTTCTCCTACGGTTTTTCCATTCGGCAATACTTTGTACAAATCATCTCCAAAGCATTTTTGGCACGCGTGCCACACACAGCCATTCACTTCAATTGCCCTATCTTCAGCCACAATGTACCCATCAACTTTATATTTTCCCGCCACTACAAATTCCCCACCTTCTGAATGTGCACTTTGAATTTCAACGCCTCTTGTTTCCTCATACCATTGTAGATATTTCAGGGCAAGCTCGCTTTGGTTATCGATGTTTTCATATCCTTTCTCCGGAACAATTGCCAAATGGTCAGGTTGAAGATGATTCAGACGAAAATGTTTCATGCAGGCCGATGCTATTGTCATTGCATCCTTCAAAATATCTATTCCTTCTGCTGCTGGCCCAGACTTGCCATTTTTTGGTTTGCTAATCTCTGTGAATTTTTTCCTGAATGCAATCAGTGCTTCTGTGAGTATTTGGACATCGTTTGTGCAGTATTCGGCCAAGGCTTCATCCAAGCAAAATTGTTTATTTTTTTCTTCTTCATACCATTTGTCAAATTCATTTTGTTTCTCAGGTGACATTCCTCCATAAAGGTAATCGGATTTTGAAGGCAGTTGCGGTAATATTTTATTGTAATTTTCAGGAATATTTGCCAAATGCGGGAAAAATTGTTTTTCTGTAATTTGTAGTCCAAAGGCACCAACCAGCTTCCCCAAGGCAACTGGACAGAGGTTAAAAGAGTCTCGGAATATAACTTCATTGCATTTATTGTTGCGGGGAATTTTCAGTTCGTAAAGTTTATTACCGCGACGAATCATTGATGGAACAACTCCTTTTGAATAAATTTCTTTGAAGACCATAATCATATCATAGCGCCCTCCATTGTGTGAAAATGCCACAGTTGTATATTGAGGGTTAAGTTTAAACAGGATCCAATCAATAAATTCTTTTAGAGGGTTTGTTGTGACGATTTGCTGATCGACTGTTGTTTGAGTAAATGGCCGGTGGGAAAATGTGATTGATCGATTATTACCGCAAATTGTACAATTTTTCCCATTTTGTTTGAGAGGTGCACGCCATAATTGATCATCTTCCATACATTTTGTGCAAGTCACTGTTGCAGCAATGAAATTCACTTTGTGAAGTCGCCTTTCTTCTTCGGTAATTTCGTTTATCTTTTCATTTTGTGTTGCTTCAAAGTCAAATGTTACTAGGCGATAATGTGATGGTTTTTTCAGTTCCAGTGGTCGAATAAAGCACCCTCTTTCCATACTGTGAAATTGCCGACAAATTTGACACCACTTTTGCCCACAAACATGTTTCTTTTCACCCTCCCTCTTATAATTTTTCATTGACCAGATGACTCCACATTTCTCACACTGCTTTGTTTGGCGGCAATTGCTGCTTTTTTTGTGATGATTGAAGCAGTCTTCATTTAAATATTTTTTCCCACATTCATCACATTTTTTGAAAAAGTCTCCCGTTGCAACACAAGGTCGGTCACTGCCAATGCGCCCACAAAATCGGCAAAGAGATTTGCATCTCAAATCATGTTCCTTTGATTTCCTAAACTTCTTTTCACACGTAAAGCAATATTTTGCCCCTGATCCAAACATTCCTCCAACATTTCTTATTGCGTCAAAATGGTTGTTTGTGTGAAGAATTGTAATAGGCATGTTGAAATTTTCATTTCCATAAGTAAATTTTGGCTTTTCGTTGTCGTTTCCAAATATAAATACCTTGAATTTGAACCCAGAATCATTATATTTGTTGTTCCAAAAATCTACAACAGTTGGTACAAATTCCACAGCATCATATTCGAGGAGATTTTGGGGGATTTTTGCTGAAATCAAAAGATTAAAAACATCTTCCATTTGTCTCTTTTTATTTTGCATGTATCTTGTAAAATTCCAACGCGCACCCAGTTCTTTGGTAAAATATTTTCTTGCTATTTCCAATGCATAGAAGAGGCATAAGTTATTGGGGTTATCGATTTTTATTAGGCAGGGGCTATTTATTTGTAGATTACTTGTTGCTAATATTTGCGGTGCGCGGCCTCTAATTGATTTTGTTCTTGGAAGAGAGGAGATTCCAAGTGTTTGAATTGCTATTGTGAATGGTTGCCCAATAAGAGAGCCTTTTTCTATCTTTGATTGTGAAACAAGCTGGAAACGATTAAGTATGTTGTCGATCGTATCATTTTCAATTTTTCTTATAGGAATCCATATGTCGCTGTCTAATAGCTGTGACGAAATTAATGCCCCCAGGCATTCAGGTTCTATTGATTTATTTTTTGCTTCTTCAACTGTTTTATCCATACATTGTTGTATTATTTCTCGAAGCAATTCCTCCGGATTCTCAGGTATTTTTTCTATTATAAATTTTCCAGTTGTTTTCATCATTTTAAATTTGCTGCTGTAGTCAGTTTCATAATCGATTTGTCGGTAATAATTTTTTAGGGTATTTGCACCCGCACCGCTTTGTACGTCATTGAATAAATGAGGAAGGATATCGCGGATGAGGAATCTAGCGCGCTTATTGGCAGGTGCAGTTTGTCCGTTATTAAATGCCATTTTTGATTTTTAATTTTTAATTGAAGAGAGCGTTTTGTTTTTGTTTTTGAGACAAATGGTTAAGAATGACAAAAAACCTCGCCTTTTATACTCCTCGTTTCAGGCGGATGGGTGATTACGAAATATTTTTTGTAAGGTCACGTGATGCGGAACTGGTAAAATTTGTTCCCTCTACAACTCATAATCATCAATCTGTCAGATAAGATCTTGAGATAAAAGGAAAAAATTTTTTAATAACTTACTTTACCTTATTTCATAAAATTGAAGGTCATTTTATTAAAAAAATTTTCCCGCTCAAAATTTGTCTGCCCAAAAACTCATTAATCATCAGACAGTTAGATAAGATCTTGAGATAAAGGGTAATTTTTTAATAAGTTAGCTTTTCCTTATTTCGTAACCTTCAAGGTCATTTATAAATTATCCAAACTCTGTCGGCTACAAAATTTGAGCCTCAAAAACTCATTAATCATCTATTAGATAAGATCTTGAGATGTTTCGAAATAATTGGTTGAACCCCCTTACATTCTGACTTCCGCCCTTTTTTGCAAATCATTTTTATTTTTTTGTAAAATTTTTAAATTTTATTTCTCCCTATTATTTTTATTTAATTAATATTTCTAATTTTAATTATTTTTAATTTTACCGTACCCCGGACCCCTGCCCCAGCAAATTTTCAGTCACAGACTAAAATTCCCAAACCCATATATTTCAGTCCCAGACTGAAATTCCCAGACTCAAAAATTTCAGTCCCAGATTGAAAATCTCAGACTCAAATATCTCAGCCCCAGACTCATTAATCATCAGTCAATTAGATAAGATCTTGTATGTTTCGAAATAATTGGTAACTCCCCCTTACATTCTGACTTCCGCCCTTTTTTCCAAATCATTTTAATTTTTTTATAAAATTTTGTAAATTTTATTTCTCCCAGTAATTTTTATTTTTTATTTAAATTATTTTTTAATTTTTATTATTTTTAATTCTACCGTACCCCGGACCCCTGCCCCCCAACATTTTTTCAGTCCCAGACTGAAATTCCAGGTTTCAGCCCCAGACTTTCAGTCTGGGATTGAAACCTTGTACAGGTATCAATCAACTTAATCACCTGTCACCCATCAATCAAACACTTGTACCTTGTACAAGTACAAGGTACAAGTACCTTGTACTTGTACCTGTCAATCAAATCTGACACACCGGGAACCTGAAAGTACCCCACACCCTTTGGTTTCCTTTGATCCCGACTTCATCCACCAAAATGTTGCACAACGTGCAACGTTTTGGTACCCACCAAAATGTTGCACAACGTGCAACGTTTTGGTGGTACCTTGTCCCAATCAATCAAATCCTGTCACTTGTCATCATCAATCAAACACTTGTACCCATCAATCAAAACCTGTCACTTATCTTGTACCTTCCCAAATTAATGACCCAAACCCTTTGATCATGCCGACAAATTGATGAGGATGGGTCCGGGAAACCCCCTACACCCTTGGGTTTCCCTTTGATGTTTCAAAATTCCGCCTCCAATTTGTTGCACACCTGTGCAACAAATTGGGGGGGGTAACTACTAATTGACATTGCTAGGCTAAATTTGTGTTGGAAAAAAAATATTTATTAGATAAAAGTAAAGGTTTAAATATTTATATGGAGGAAAAACAACAAACATTTAGAAATAGATTGTGGAAAATGACATAAATTTCAGAAAATTATGTTCAATTAAATATTTTTAGTTCAGAGGAAGAAAAATGGATATCCAGAGAATTTACATGTTAAATTAATTTACAAATCGGTGGTTAGCTTACTTAAAATTAAATTTGAAGCTATCACTGATACTTTAACTCCTCTAAAATTAGTACAACATAATTATTTTAATTCGGCTGGAAGTGGGGATATAAATCAACCAGATTTACAAGTCTATACTGCTGGAAAACTTAATTTGCCATAAAAAATAAAAGGATTAAATAATCAAGATACCCTCCACTTGGAGGAATTTGTTTAGAAGATAAACAATTTCCAGATGCTGTTAATCATCCAAAAGTTTTTCCATCCATAATCATTTCACCAACAAATCTTACACTCGATTGAAAAAAAATGCGGAAATAGATAAACTTAAAATAAAGTAAAATACCCCTATAAAAAGAAATGGCAATAAAATTTTTTGAGATGTGAGAGAAAATGATATACTGATTAGAATCCAATTACAATACCATTAATACCGAGAATTCGTATAAAACTCCGGTCATAAAAAAAAATTATTTTTCTCAACTAATAACTTAAGCAAGCGTAAAATTTGAGCCCTCAGACAAAAAACACCAATCTGCGAATATTAGTTATATGTATTAAACAGAACTAAATAAAATTTAGAAGAAAGCCAAAAATAAAAATACTTTAACAAAATCCAATACTTTCTAGTTTTCTCAAGTGAAAATAAATTTGGAATAGACTTTGGAGTTCATTTTTAAACAAAATTGAAAGAAAGTCTTTAAAATTAAAAAAGGAGGTTTCGGAAAAAACGGCATTAAAAAAAGCCTCTCCAATCTCCAAATTTTTGAGTTGAACTGAAAAAAAAATCACTAGACATGCTTTGATCACTATTCAACAGGAATTGGATTAATTATAAGGAAGCAGAATCTAGAGAATTTATGTGAAGCTGTAGACAATAAAAAGAAAAACAATTTCATTATAGGGGCGAACACAGACAAAATATATTTGGACTTTTAATTAAATAATTCTCTTGATTTTTCTATCACGAAAAGGTTCCCAATTGTAATTATAGAAGTAACTTTAAAAATAATTATTTCGTTATTCAATAAAAAATACTTTGATGTAAAACCAAATCGCCCCACCTGCGAGCTAAAAAAAAATTCAACAAGCCTCGCTAATCAAATTTTAAAAGAGAATGGATATTACTCAGCAAATTAAATATTATTTAAAGTTATAACAGGTTCAGCCTAAAAACTCACAAGGAGGCTAAATAATTTCGAGTATTTTTACTTCGAAAATTTATATGGAATTTTGCAGAGATACACAGTTCCCCGTATATCTTATAACAGGAGCTTCAAATATTGCTTAATCAGAATCTCTATGCAGAGTTGAGTAGTAACGCATTGACCAGTGCAAAAATAGAGACAACAAATATCTAGTGAAAAAATCCTAGATACATAAAGTAATCATTCAAATTGAAACTCTGAAAGACAGTAACATAACACTTAAATCAAAAAATAATAAAGAAATTTGAATTACTTGCGAGAAAATAAAAAATTAAAAATTCGTGCAGATCTATGAGGCCTAATTAAAAAATCGGAAAAAAGAAATTTTAAGTTAGCGGCGGACACATCGGACACATTTAAAAATATATTCTGGCTTTTCAATAAAAATAAATAATTGAGAGTTACACATCCAAAAACCCCGTTTTGTCATCCAACTGGTATCGTGAATTCAGTAAAATATTATGTACAAAAAAGTCATTGAATAAAAGGGATAAAAGATACAATGAGATATTTCTAACGGGTCATCATATGTCTAGTAAATAAATAATACACAACTGGATATGCTAAGACACCGGCAAGGATAAATAACCATAAGTATCATCAACTGTACTATCAACTATGCTCACGCCGAGAAAAACAATAATTTCTTTACATAGTGAACTAGTTTGGGTCAGGAGTTTTTAGATAGCCGTCGATCATCAACTTGAGCCGGACTCAAAGCTGCACGAAGAGTAAAATAAAAAGAGTAATCCCTAAAAAATAGCAAAAGCCCATTATAAAAAAAAAAACAAGGACTTGACTAAAAAAAAAAAAAAAAAAAATTTTTTTTTAATAATGGAGAGGGAAGTACAAAACCGGGAACTAAAAAACCGAGAAACAAAAGCCGAGAAAAACTAGCAGAGAAAAATCCCCCACTTAAAATTGGGAGAATCGACAGAATCATCGAAGGATACAACTTCCAGCAACGATAACAACACAATCTCCTGCAGTAAAATCAACTCAAAAAACAAGGGAGTGTTAGCTGAAAATTGGTAATCTATATATCAACAAAAAATTTGTTCTGCAACTTGTAAACACAATTGGCCCCACAAAAATTGCTGCTCTTTTAAAAAGCTTTGAATGAATTTAAATAAAATTGTTTAATTTTATTTATGCTAATTATCCCAACTTTCCCTCACCTAGTTTTCAGTCTACTTTCCCAAAAATTTCTGTACCTATGTAAAATATCCCCTAAATAATCATTAGTTCTGTAATGTAATATTTCTATCCTCATCAGTGTCTACTTAATTCTTCGGAGAACTTGGAAAAAAACTGTAATTAAAAATTAAAAATCTAAACAGGGAAATAAAAGAAGTAAACAAAAAATATATTAGAAAGAGAATTAAAGCCTTTATAATAATTACTTAAATGTAGTAAAAACAAATCCGCTTCGTCACAAAGGCGAGAAACAATACTAAATTTAAAATATAATACAAAAAAAAATATCAAAATTTTAATGATAAAGCTCGGTCAGAAAAAATATAAAATTAAAAAAAAAAGTCAGGAAATATTTTTTTAAAAACCGTCGTTCATAATTGTACGATGAGAAAATAAAAATAATGTCTTAGAGAATTTAAATTAAAAAAAAAATATATTTTAAAATAATCCTAAATTACCCTTATTAAAGGAAAATTAATGTGCCACCCGTTTAATCGGAGAAAGTTAGTTTAAAGAAAAGCAGTTAATTAAAAAGGCAGCCTTAGCAAATTTCCCGAAAAGTAGAACGTGGACGTTCTTTTCGAAGGGGGAAGGAATGCTGTATCCCTCCTAATCAAATAAACAAACTAAAAATAAATGTTGCATTCACGTGCATTCACAGGCACATATATTTTGACCTCTTTCTATATTAAAAGGAATCCCGACCGTTATCAGAGTCTATCACAATTCCCGACCCTTATCTTAATATTTGTTATTCACTTGTTTACGCCAATCTCGATTTATTAATGTCCCCTATAAATACTCATCCAAAATGGTCATTCATATATCTAATTAGAAGTGTTTTTATCAGGTCTGGCCAGACTCTTGTAATTGTCCCCTTTTCCCTCCCTAATGTATATATTTTAATTTGTAAATAGTTAGATGTAAATAAAGTACTTTAAAGTATACAATTTGTATAAACCTCGAAAGGCTTCGGAACCCAATCCCAACAGTCTTTAAATGGAGGTATTGTTAAAGATATTTAGAAAGGGAAGGATCATTTCTTGAGATAAATAGTAGATGACTCAAATTATTTTCTTGAAAAAAACAATAAATATCCACACTTTCTAGAAAGCCAATTGTTTATTAAAATACTGACAATTGGTGTCTAATTCTAATTAATTTATTTAAAGTTTATTGACGTGAAGCTGTTAAAAAATAAAGAAAATTCAATTTAATGAAAAAAATTAATTTTAGAGAAAATTTAAAAAAAAGTTTTATTTAATTGTCTATAAATCGACTTTATTTTTATAATAAAAATACTAAATTTAATTTTAATCAGAAATAAATAAAATTTATATGTGGAAATAAAATGTCTTAAAAATAAAAATGTTTTATAGTAGGATCTGGGGACTCCTCAAAAATGTCGTTTTTAGAACGTGAAAATTTTGGTAATTTTTAAGGCGGAGAAGCCAAAACAGTCTTCTTATAATTAGAAAAATATAAAAAAATAAAACTAAGATTCAAAAGGAAAATGGTAAGAAAGGCAATGCCAAAGAACAAAAAAATTAATTTAGAACTTTAAAAGCTCTGTAACTTTAAACAAATATAATTTTTACTCTCTATTAGCTACCTTGGAAGTAAAAATTCTGTAATTTTTCTATTTGATTCCTCCCAAAGTCTACAAGCTTTCCAAACACTTCCAATAACCCTCCCTCGATTTATAAAATTAATTTATAAAATGCTAGTTGAGAAGTTAGATATAAATAAATCAAAAATTTGAAGAAAAAAGTTTATCAAATGTAAATTTAAAAAATATATTTACTTAAAAAATTAAAAACCTTTGGCATTATTCATTAAAACTAAAATTTAATTTAAAAAAACAAATAAATATTTTTTTACTCGCGCAAATTTAATTGCTTTTCTTGTGTTCTTTTTTAAAGAAAAGCATTCTTTCCTTTAAAAATTAATTTTATTTAGAAAATATAATTTTTAATTCTTTTTTTAGTTTTTATATTTGTCTTGTTTAAATAATTCCTTTGACTTTTTATTTTATTTTTCTAAGAAAAATAAATGAGAAGATGGCAAATTAAACAAAAAATATCTCTGAATATAAAATGTGACAGAAAATAAAAAAATATATAATTTTTTTATTAAAGACCTTTTAATATAAAAATTCGCTTAAAATGCGCTTACATTATTTACATAAAAATAAATATATGATGCGATATAATACGTATAATACACATAAAAAATATTTTTTAATTTATGGATTGTCTATAGAATTTGATGGTATTCTAACAATAACCATAGTTAAGCCGCAAAACTCATATCAGGAAATAGATGGGATTTGATTCTGAGAGCTCCCCGATACGAGCTTATTAGATGCTCATAAAGTTTTTGAACTAGACAGAACCGAAAAACAAAGGATTTTCCAGCTCGGTTCTTCGTTTAGATTCAGAATATCCAACGATTTTACAAGAGCTGACAAATTGATCCTTAATTATCCCAATGCCGCATGATTGTTTCTATTTTTGTCTTATTAACTAGGCCAGGATCTCCTTCATTCTCCTTCAATCTCCTTCAAAATCTTTAAAAATAATATAAAAATTCAAACAATTTTTAAAAACAAAAAGTCAAAGAAACCCCCTTTTGGGAATTATTTGATGGACCAACAAAAAATAAAAAATGGAGAGAGAATAAATGATTGATAATTATATATTTTAAATTTTTGTGTTAAAATTTGTGTTTTAATAAAATTGCTCAAAAAATATTTTTTAAATTACCTATAAAATAATAAATTTAAATATTTTTTTAATCATTTAAGCAAGATTAAATATATTTAAATTTATGATTGTATGACATTAATTTTTAAATTGAGGAAAGTTGGATAATTAATAAAAAAATTTTTTTATTAAAACCTTAAATTTTCTTAAATAATATCTACAATCTTTATCAAATATTTATAAAATCTTTAAAAAATACAAAAAAAAAGTTTTAAACATAAAAACATTAAAAACATATTTTTATCTAAACGTTCCCTTGAGAAAACTAAAAAAGTTTCTTTCAAAATATTTTATTTTTCTTAAAAATTCATGGAAATACATATAATGTGACTTAAAATATATTTTTAAAAATACATAAAAATTAGGAAATTTAAAAAAAAAACTAAATTACAGTCAAAATTCTTTAGCAAATTACCCTCAGGATCGAATTCGAAAAATTGATATGTGAATAAAGTCAAATCTGGTTTAAACAACGAGCCGATGTATGAATAGAAGGACACGATTTTCGAGAAGTTCAACTATATATATATATTTCTTAAATGTATTTTTTTCTATGAAACTGCTGTGAGTTTTAAGTGGAATCATAAATTTTTAGCAGACATTCTGGAGAAAAAAAACTAATTAATCTACGGATGGCAATTAAAATATGCCAGTTTTCGACCCCCGGTTTTCGGTTTCGGTTCGGTTAACCGTTTGAGTCCAACGCTAATATACCTATGTAGATATAAGCTAACCAAAAATAACGCGGACATTAACTTAGAGGAAAATTACTCAAAAACATAAAGATTTCTTGCATTTTTTAATGTTTATTTAGGAGGTTACGAATTTTTCTTGGTTCTCGTGAAAAGAATTAATTCTTGAGATTTAATCTTTCCCTGGTTTAAATTTTAAAATTATTGCATTTCATAGCTTGTGAGTAATTTTATTGAGCTATCGCGGGCAGTATTTTATGTTAATAAATTGACAGGGAATTTTAGTTTTGCTAAAAATTTCTTTCATTTTTTATTTTAAATTTAAATATTTCTGAAATATTAAGTATTGGGTAAACGAAAGTCAAAGCTTTTATTAAATTTTGTTCTTAATGAGGTGATTAAAGCTTCGTTTAACTTACCTGAAAGAAAATTAATTATTCAATTATGGGACGATCAAAGTTTTGATTTACCTTAAAGGCTTTGTGATAGCTCCGTGTTTCAAAACCTTTAAAGGAAATATTTACAGTTTATTTATAAGGAGGGCCATTGATTCAGGCAACAAATAATAAAGGATCGAGGATGTCACTTTCCACATCACCAAAAGGAGGCATTGCTTCTCAAAACCATAATTTCCAATGCTAGCCGATAAAAGGCAAAGAATTCTTGGGTTAAGATCCCGCAACGGGATTGGGATCATTAGTTACCTCAATACAGCCTCAAAAATTCCCCGGTTTTCCTTATAAATTAAAATATTTTTACATTATTCCAACTTTGAAGGGCCTTCAAATAAGCCAAAAATATAAATTTAAAGCTATACTTAAAGGGTTGGAAATATATTTTAATAGCTTTCCGTCATTTTATACACAAAAGTATTTAATGTCTTTTATTAAATTTTTCTCGTAAAGCATAAATCTGACAAGATGAACAAACATTTAAATATTTTATTTTAATGATTTTATATCATTTATATTTAAATCAATTTAAAATTTAACATTTATATTTTTTAATTAAAAAATTTGTTAAATAAATTATTTCCTTTATTCCAAAAAATTAACGTTTAAGCTTTAGCTTTGGCATATAATTTTTATTATGAATTCTTTATTGCCCTAAAATAAGCCCTGAATGCTTATTTTTTAATAGTTACATCATTGAAGAGCTTCTAATAGATGTGCTAAAGTAAATTAGAATATCTATTAAGAAATTTCCGATCAGTTAGGATTTACGCAATCGGGGTGAATCGAACCCTGGAACTTTCTAGTTTGAGAAAAGAGTTGTCGTTTCTTGGAACTTGGAAATTTGGCTCAGAATTTCTGAGCCAACAACCCTATTAAGGTGAAAAGACTCTCTTTTTCTTCTCATAATTCCTGTCAGGCAACCGTTAAATGCTAGGCAACTGTATCTTTATTAAATAAATTTAATGGTTAATTAAATTGTTTGGGCAGGACATTAAATTTAATTTATTACCAAATTCAATTTCAATCTACCCAAATGTCATTTACAAATTCTAACAATGAAACAAAAAATGAAATAGTCGAAAATGAGAATCCTGAAAATTTGGAAGATTTAATTGATATTGGCATGAACAATGAAGAAATTAAAGTTGAAAATCAACAAGTTGAAGAGGATGGACGTGCAAATTTAAAAATTCAAAAACTGTCAACAAAAACTAAACGCAACCTTAACCCAACTCCAAAAGAATGTAGTATCTGTGAACGTATGGCTAGTGGATATTTCTTTTATGGAGTAATTTGTTGTGATGGTAGATTTAAATGTTTGAAGTTTGGATTAATATAGATATTGTTTTCAGGCTGTAAACACTTTTTTCACCGTTGTATTACTTCAAAAAACAAATATAAATGTGAAAAAGATGGGAACTGTAATCTGTCTTACAGTAATATTTTTATAATAATTAATGGATTTAGGTATATTGGGTGAAGGAATGTTAATGATTTTCGTATTTTAGACTGTAGAGATTTTAGGATATCTGTATTTGTTAGTGTAAGCTTTTCTTACACATACAGGGTGACAAGAGGGGCTACCTTTGGCGTAGGGACTAGATCTTTCAGCAGGCCACTGCTAAAAAGACGATGGATGTGCACTAAAGATCTCTTTTTTGTCACAACAAAGAGAGCTGGATCTGAGAATACCTGAAACGACCATATATAAATTTTTCGGACCACATATATAATTTTTTTCATTTAAGAAGGAAACTGAATATCATTTAAAAAAACTAATTAAAGATATAAATGTCTGCAAAAGTTGCCGTTTCGATAAATGCATATTAAATGGAATGTATATTCAAACAACAAAAGGAAGACAACCCGAAAAGGTTTTGGAAATACAAACAATGATTCAAAATAAACGTAGAGAACTTGCTAGTAAAGGAAAATATATTCAAGGAAAATCTAATAATTGTGCTGGTGAAGAGTTAAATTTTGTTGATTTGGTAGATTTTATTTTGTTTATTAGGCCGTTTTATTAGGCCGTTCACTGTTCACGTTCCCCTTATTTTCAAATATTGGCAACGTATCTTTTCTTCACAATTTAACTTCTTTTTTGGCATGAGACGATGTTCCTTTTAATACCGTAACAACCATCAAAGCCCGTTTTTGGAGCAATCCATTTTATTGGCCTTCGAAAGTTCAATATCCCCTGATATCCTCACCTCTGATCCCGGTCACTCACGGTTTATACATTTTAATTTTGGAAGTACAAGGGTCGATAAGTACTGTACTTCCAAAATAATTACGAACCCGAACCCTGTCCTACTCTATTTTATACTACATATTTCGATTTTAATAACTTAGAATTTCTGATTTTTATAATATTCTAGCAAAATTCAATAATCGCTGCTCAAAACAAACAATTTCTTGAATATCTTCTAACTGTCGAGCAAAGTGTCTACCGTACAAGAGATTCAGGGATTGATGAATGCCATTACAATTCTTCGTGTAATTCTCTTGCTTCATTGCTCACGCGTAAAGAAAATTTAATTGCTATGAAACACGGGAATGTGTGTTGGAATTTAAAAAAAAACAAAACAAATTTTTTATAAATTTAAAGATTGGAATGCATCAAAAATCTGTTCATGCTCCAATCGAAGGATTTATTGCCTTTTCTAAGCTACCAAAACCTCTTACGGATATGTTGCTTATAATTGTTGATACTGCAAGAACCATGCCTTTTTTCGATAAATTGGATTTACCTGACAAGGTGATGAATAACTTAGTCGATACTCGTCCCCAAAGGTTTTATCCCAAAACCCACAGACCTCGAAATTTACCTATATTTTTTCCAACTTTTCACAAGTTCTAAAGTCATTAATAACTCTTAATATGCTATAATATATTGTTTTGCTTGTGTTTTCGATATTGTTATGTACGATGTTCATGATGTGGAGAAATTGTTTGGATGGGATATGGAATTGAACCATCATGGAATGAGCCCAGCTGAAGCACAACCGACTGTGCCACCATCCAACCCGATTATGGGTTATTTTTTCATTTATATTCCTTCTGCAAGTGCGGACACGTCGATAAATTGGATCTGAAACCTAGTTTAGAGAATTATTAAGCAGCTAGATTCGAAACTATGTATTACACCTAATTGTTATTATAAAGATTTGTCTAATCGCAACAATCACCATGCCGACTTTAGCACTACATTTTGGGTATTATTGCAGTAGAATGTTATCCGAAACTGTTGTTTTTCCGAATGGATATCCAATCAAAGATGTTTTCAATGCAAATTTTTACAAAGAAGACATGACGTAAATTTTATTTTTTTGATCAATTTTACCCTTAATTTTGTATTAGGATAAACAAATTTGTAAAAAAATTATTTGACAATTCTATGGGGCCATTCAATAGACTGCAACTAAGCAAAGAAGAATTTGTTCTCCTTCGCGCTATAATTTTTTCACATTTTGCCTCAACAGGCTTAAGTCAGTATGGCCGACATTTATTACTGACTGAGGCAGAGAAATATTCTGATATATTGATGAAAATGTTACAGGTGTTCTAAATTATTTTTAAAAAAAACTTGGGTGAATATCAGTGCTGGGTATTTGCCATTTGTTGGCTCCGGCTACGGGATTTCAAAATCTTGGCCGCTCGATGCTGGCTACGGGCTCCGGGTGGAAAATCAATGAATTATTTTTCATTGGGGGATTTGGTAGATAAAGGGGGATATAGAGTGATATAAGAGGGTTATCAATGGATTAAGCGGGATTTGGGTGGATTATCGTGTGATTTAGGTGGATTAAGGGTGATATCAAGGAATTAAACACAAAGGACCAACGGCTATCGACACAATTACCGAAATCAGGACTCATTTTTATGTCAGCGGCTAGATTCACATTTCTTATCCAATTCCTTGCCAATAAATTCTGACTCGGCATTTAATTTTCTAAAATATTCTATTTCAGAGTCGCTATGGACCATTTGCGGGTGCTAAAAGATATGCAGAATTGTTTCATTTAGTTGAATTTTGCTTCAACTGTGGAAACAACCATTGCCTTTTTCTAAATTATCTGGCTTATGTAACCGATAGGGGTTATTTCCATAACTCAATGCCTGAAGCACTTGTTAATCTTTGTCTTGGTTGCAAAACTTGAAATTATATTTTCATCAGAAAAGGAAGTAAATCGAGGGTGGATGCAAGATGAAAGAAGTAAGATAGGCCTGGGACATTTCTTTAAATTTTATTCTTTCCTTTTTTACTTTAACATCCGTTAATGATCAATTTTTTCTTTTCACTAAATTTGTAATTTTGAAAATTGAACTTTTTTTGAATACAATTTTTCCTAAAAATCTCTCGTCCTTCTAAATTCCCACCCGACAGCCCTACACATTGAATTTTTTATTAATATATAGATTTTGAAAAAGTTTTTGGCGCCGCAGGAATAAAATATTAAGAAAAAAGATAATGCAATTTTTCAAAAAAACTAAAATTATCGTAATCCGGCCGTAGCCGGATCGATGGAATGCTAACTACACTCTGTCAGAAAATTATAAGCACTTCCTAAAAACATTATTAAATTTAAAATGTAAGCTAATTAAAATGTAGGCCTAGTAGCTACATTTAATTTTTATTCTATAACTTTCTGAAAGCCCATTAAATTTGCTACAAGATGTGTTTTTATAGACGATACCTCGATTTTACGTTAATTTCCGGGTTTCTGGATCTCGATGTAGAGGTTATGTTAGAACTTCGCTTCTTTTGTATTTTCAATTCACATCACTAGATATGCTTACCGGAATTTTTGTAGATTTTTCGAACAGCCCCTAATGCTGAAACTTAAGGGGTGCTTATAATTTTCTGAGAGTGTACCCAGTACAGGCACAGGACTTAACCCAAGACGACAAAATTTTTTTAGACAAACAGGAGTTAATTTTTATTTAATTTAGTAATAGAAGTATCATTTTTAAAAATTTATTATAAAAATTTACTCCTTTATTTTTCGCATCTTATGTCCAAATTATTTATTAGCATGTCCTACTTTAACTTTCAATTGTTCAAAAATATAATTTTTAACAAATTCATCAATTTTTATTTTTATTTTCTCTTCAATTTTTTCATTTAAATATTTTTTATTTAATTTAATAGAATAACATTCTTCAGGTTTTTCATTACATTCTTCTAAAATTTTAATAAAATCTGTCACAATATTTTTATTTTCTTCTTTAATATTTAAATAATTATATTTGGACATTGATTTAATTAATTCAAGAAATGCTCGGAATTGAAGAAATACACCAATTTTGTTTAAAGTTTCCTCTTTATTGTACACGTAATTTCTATTATATGCTAGAAAATTTCTATTAAATATTTTAATTTTTCGTTTGAACAACCCTAATCTGTCCTGAGGAAAACGGATTTCGCTTATCGCTGGCTTTAGAATGTTATAGAAGGTCGAAACATTAATTATCCAAGGTAATTATTTCAGCATACATGTAAGCTTTTTCTACCCGAAAGACTACAATTATGCTGGATTGTCTAGATTACCGTATATGCTCGAATAATTACTTTTTCTCAAATAATTGCCCCCTCTCAATTAATTACCCCATGTAGCGAGAGGTTGAAAAATAATTTCCCTCTTTCAAATAATTACCCTCTTTAATAATTACCCCCTATTTTTCTTAAAAAATTATAAAAATATTTATTTAAAAGATCAAAAAATTTTAATAATGGAACATTTTAAGGATCCATATAAAAATAGATCGAAAGATTAAAAGGATTTTTGGATGAATTAAAGGATATATCAAGGTATTACCTTGAAAAAAGCTCTAATCCCAATTTTCTCTCCAAAATCTCTGATATCTCTTAGATCTATTAGGCTAGTGTAGAAAACATTAAAAAAATTCAACATATTTAGTATATTGTATATCCCTGTCTATATATGATAGAACAAAACATTTATAGCAAGGTCGAAACAATAATTACCCTCTCTCGAATAATTGCCCCCTCTCAAATAATTACCCCGTCTAGCGATAGGTTGAAACAATAATTACTAGTGATGGTCGGGATTCCCGGTCTCGGTTCCCGAGTCGGGAAATTTCCCGGGTTTTTTGAGCTCTCGGTCTCGGTCTCGGTCTCGGTGTTTTAGTCTCGGAAAACGAGACTAAATTTACACCCCTAATGACGGAAATTTTTTGAATTTTACTCGTACCTCGCGCACTTTAGCATTAAATTTTTTAAGGAAAAAGGAAAGAAATATTTAATTTTCTCCCATTTTTCTTTTGTTGTTCGATGGTTGAGTGATTGTGTGACTGACTTCAATCACTTAGTTATTTTGTTAGTTCTGGGTTCGAATCCAGGGGTGGAATTGAGGCTGAAAAATTTTTCTTTTCAAAAATAAATGTCTTTTAATTTTGATTTTGATTTCAAATTTATTTTTTTTTAATATTTTAAACTTGAAAAGACATTAAAAATTTTAATTTAATCATGAATTTTCCAAAATTTTCGCCTGCGGCGCATAAATCCTCACTATACATCCTCACTTGCGGTGAGATCCTCACTGGCTTCACGACCTCCAAAATTCTCAAAATTTTCGCCTGCGGCGCAAAAAATGAATGAAATTGAAGGATTTATAGCTTAAAACCTTAAAAAATACAAGAATTATCGTATACGACCTTAACTATTAGGGGTATCAATGGACTTGTCGGATATCGGAGCTTATTGGGATTTGAAAGGCTATAGAGGCTATATTAAAATTAAGAGGAATATCTGGAAACTTGGAAGGATTAAAGTAAACATAAAGGGACTTGTGAGTGGTATTCGAGGGTTGGGAAGATACCGTTCGATTTGGAGGGATATCGAGGGAAATAAGGGGATTCAAAGCGATTAATGGGAATATCAGTGGATTAAGGTGGATATCGGTAGATTTATGAGGAGTAAAGTTATATTGTGGATGTGGGGATTCAAGGGATTTGAGGGATTATGAGGATATATAGGGATATAGAATTATAAAAGATATATAGGGGTATATCAAGTGATATCCCTCCTAATCTCTTGGTCTCGACTCTCGGTCTCGACTCTCGGTCTCGACCCGGGACTCGGTCTCGGGGTTAATTCCCGGTCTCGGTCTCGGTTCCCGACTCTCGGCTTTTTTTAACTCCCGACCATCACTAATAATTACCCAGGGTAATTATTCGAGCATATACGGTAGACGTAAATTGTTCGTCATTCTCACTTTAATGCCAATCCTTTCTGAACTGGAGGTGTTTAACTGGACCCATTAAAACAAGTGTACTCATCCCAGATAATATCGAAGGATTGGGAGGTAAAGCTCTGTAAATAAACATACAATTAAAGCTTTCCTTCATTTCACGTTGAAAATCCCAAATAATAATTTTATATTTTTCTAAAAACAAATCAAATTTCTCTTTTGGATTTTCAGGTATATTAATTAATTTTTTATAATTTTCATTTTCTTCAATTAAATTTAAACAATTAAAAATATTTTCTTCTTCAATTTTTTCTTTAATTTCTTTTATCATTCCAAATAATTTTTTATAAAAATTTTTCCCGTTTAGAGGTTTAAAATAAATATTTCCATTAATTTCCCATTTATCTTCACCACATTTTTCTTTCATTTTTTCATTTAATATTTTTTTAATTTCTTTAATAGAAATTTTTGAAAAGTCTTGACTGAAAATGATTTAATTTTAAAATTGAAATAATTTGTGGATTGTGATATAACGACTATTAAGGTGCTGCTTCAACTTAAGGAATAAAATACTGCCAGCAGGGTGGCCCCTTCCAAAACACTAAAATAGGGCGCAGCCACTCAATAATAGGGCAAAAATTAGGGC